CCGGGCGGACTGAGTAGTCATCAATGGTACTGAGGGCTGGGCTCGGCAACCTCTGGGTGGTTCTTTATCTCCTCTCTGGAGGGCGACTTAGTACTGCGATCCTATTATAATAATCGCTTCGACTTAAAAGCATATTTTGTGAGAATCACAAACGAAATACCCTTATCAGAAAAGCCGGAATGGCTACTCGGCAATCAGCCGTACATTAATCCTGAGGGAAGACTTAAAGTCCAAATCCTGGTATAGTGCATGTCCTACGATAACCGCCAGATTCACATTCCCACTGGTTTTTAAGAATTCCTTCATCCCAATTCTTCCCAGAAAACATCGAACAGATGAAAATTCGCAGCTTTATTGGCAGCAATGCTGGTCGGTTGGTGGGCAATAATGAGGGGAAATTTCCCAACTTCGGACTCGCATACTCACCATCTGGTCCATCCTCACTGTCTCCCGACGATTTACAGTAGATGTGCTAACTCATGAAATGTCAACCAAAATTTCGAAATGTGTTCTCGTTTCGAAAGCATAAATTAAGTAGTGTTGTAAAACTAATCATGATGCAGCATAAATCTATAATGATCCAGTTACCTCAGGGTGTCGGCTTTCGAATGAACTTATTTCCAACTGCATGCAATATCTATACTCTGCAAAAAATGACTACTTAAGTAGCATGCAATTTTCTCACTGATTTTCGATGCCCTTGAAAATTCGATTATATTTCATGGAAAGCATGCATAAAAATATTCATTCTTTTACTTATTCGATAGAAAATCACGTCTTCTTCCAATTTCATACTCAAAAGAAGAGTATAAGTAGGTTTTAAAAAACTTTTCTGATTCCCGAATAATTTTGAACCCGACCTGTTGTTACACTTGCATTCAGGGTTTCAAAACTACAAGCTGCATATTTTCCGTGTACGGAAAACCATGCATTTCTCTACGGTGTTAAGAGGAGATCATATGAGGTTCACAAAATTAAGCTGTGGATTTGAGCAATATTGTTAACTTTACAAGCCACATTCGTAAATGCAGATACATGACATTTCATGAACGGCAATTTAACGGTATTAAAAAATCTCACAATTAGAAACTTTTTTAAAACCGAATTATACTCTTCTTTTGAGTATGAAATTGGAAGAAGACGTGATTTTCTATCGAATAAGTAAAGTAATTAATATTTTTATGCATGTTTTCCATGAAATATAATTGAATTTTCAAGGGCATCGAAAACCAATGAGAAAATTGCATGCTACTTAAGTAGTCATTTTTTGCAGAGCATAGATCTTGCATGCAGCCGAAGATAAGTTCATTCGAAAGCCGACACCCAGAGGTAACTGGGTCATTATAGATTTTTGCTGCATCATGATTAGTTTTACAACACTACTTAATTTATCTTTTCGAAACGAGAACGCATTTCGAAATTTTGGTTGACATTTCATGAGTTAGCACATATACTGTAGTTATTACAACGACCGCTAATCTGATAGGATGCCGTGGCTAACTTGGCATATCACTCCCCCTCTAGGTCTGCGGTTTCCTCACGCCAACGGAATCAGACTTCACACACTCGGCAACTCGTATTCATTAAAAAACGCCATGGAGGCCACATCAAGGTCGAGTTGGCGCTGTTTGCCTTGCAGTCTCCGAGATCCAGTCCCTGCACCAGTCGGTAAATTGCAAAGACAAAGTAGTTAGAGTAGTATCTGGGCGGCCATTGGCCCCTACAACAGTCGCCTGTCCTGTTGCTGTTGTCATCTCTGATGAGGAACTCCTGTACGAGCTCAAGGGCTCAGAATAATAAACAAACGGTTACGGTGCCTGATCCGTCTACTTTCTCCTTACTCATGGAATATAACCACTCCTAACCCCCGAGATTAACTTCCAGACCGGACTGTATCACATCACCATTTCGACCTTGTTCAGTGCTTTTCGACCGTCGTGCTCAACAATGTCCACCGTGTGCTCCACAGAAAGGCGAAGCAGGCACGGCGACTTGCGCAGCATCTACCGCACTCTCTCCTCCTCCCCCACCTGGGCCCCGTGTCGAGACATAGTCAAGAAGACCGGAGATGAGGGAGGACGCAGGTGTCTGGCACATCTGGACCCGCATATAGATGTACCACCACATCCCCTGGTCCACAAACCAGGATTTTAACCAACAACAACAATAACACCACAACGGGTCAGATAGACGACGACGAGGATGACTGGGCAGCCATACTCACGATCTGCATACCCAGCAGGATCGCAAACGCATCTACCGGCAGGGAATCAGATGCCAGAGAACTGCCAGTGCACACCAGGCTGCGAGGACCATGGTTTGCTGATCCTGACATAGCAGACGCCTACAATCCTTGAGTCCAGTGCTTTTCATAATGCCTGCGAGAACGATATTAATAGAACCGATCCCCCAATAACGTCATCGCCTATTAAGGAGTGCATTTTTAAACGCAGCACTTTCCACTAAACTCTGAATCGTTTAGCACTGAACGTCGCCCCTACAACCAAACGTCATTACGGCTAAATTTTGCGCACATCGGTAAAAGTAGATACCGACTATATTCCCCCATATAAAGCTGCCATGATTCCCTTTTTTTCCACGACTTTATGGCATAAACTACCAACGTGCAAATAA